GCAAAGGAGTGTATCCATATAAAGAAAGAAATATGTTTCTTGCCTTATTTCCATATTTTATCATCAGTAACATAATGTGATCAGCCATTTTCAAGCAACTCATGTAAATCAGTATCCATGTTTTGATTTACTTTTCTCATCTAACAGCTCTTCTTTTTTTGCTGTGTAAGTGTAACCTTAGATGTCTACATGTACTGATATTGGGGTTGTTTTTAGATCTAGAGAAGTTTGGACAGTTTTGACCTTCCCCAGAGTCATGGATTTTTTCCGTATGAGGTACTGAGTAAAAAGTTTAGACCAATTTTTTACAAGATAAGTAGTAAACATGCACTGCTTTAGTTATTGGATGTAAACACCTGCATGTAAATATATTTCTTTAGGCAGTTTGCGCAAATCAAATTGCCAGATGGCGCTGCTGTACCTGTTTAAATTTGGAGCTCTGGTTAAAACAGTACTTAGATCAAGATGGCTGTTGCATCTATTACATGTAATACACGGATAATGATGATGATGATGATGATGATGATGATGATGATGATGATGATGATGATGATGATGATGATGATGATGATGATGATGATGGGGATTATGATGATGATATTGTTGTTTTTTATGATGATGATGATGATGATCATGGTGATCAGGTTTTGTCGTTCTCTTTCATTTTTCGAGAAAAAAATGGGCATAGCTCATTTCATTCTAAAGCCACATTAGAAGACGAAAACTGCCGCCCCCTTCCTGCTGAAAATGATTAGTATTATTATTTTGAGGAACTATAAACTGCACGGACCTATATCTTCCTTTTTTTAATTTTCAGAGGTCAATAGAGGGAAACAACTGGCCAACAAATTTGGCTATACATGTTCTTAATTACTCAGGCTACACCTACACATACAAAGCCCCTAATTAAACAAACATTATTAGATCATTCTATACATCTTAAACATCCTCCTAATCCATCATTTATCAGTTCATATTGTTGTGCTTGTTTAACAATAAAATCTAGAAAAAGCGCGGATCAAAATAAATCTCTTATTCTTATAGTCGAAACACACTTAGTCCAGATCAACATTCCGAACAAGGACAAAGGGAATAGATGAGAATAACAAGCACTTGAATGTTAAGCTCTGCAATGTTGGTACGTGTAACTGAATTTCAATGCTGCCATGCTGGTGGTAGACTTACTGCACATGTGATAATGCACTCCACATTTAACACTGCAATGTTAGTACGTGTCATTTCTCATTGAACAACTTATAATTACACTGCTTAGCTGGTAGGCCTACATGTAAGTCAACTTAAAACATTGGGAGCTAGCCGGGTTGTGGGTGGTGGGGTAATAATCAGGGCACAGCTAAATGCAATAATTAGAATGGTTGGTGAAAATTACTATAACAAAACAAACCTAGCTCAAAAAAGTAATCCAACTTAAAACATTGGGAGCAAGCATGCAAAATTAGAAGAAGAAAATGACTAGAACTTGAAGAAAAAAATAGTCAGTTTACCTCACAAGTTGAACAACTTATGAATGGAAAGACATCACCAAGTACCATATCATAAAAAAAGAGTTCCTGTAGAAGATTGTACCCTTCCAAATGTGAGGTAGATCAGCTGTGAATCATTAATGAAATACAAAAAGGCAGCATGGAAAGTACACAATGTACTACATTCATTCAAAATGAAAAACAAGATCTATAGAGAAGAATCCAAATTTCATTGAACTCTAAAGCCTTCATTAAGTCATCAGATCCTGAAAAAAAAACTTATGAAGAACAAGCATTCGATAACTTTAACAAGGACATATTATAGCGTCGTTTATTTCAGACACATACAAAGCCAGGTGCCGCTGGAGAAAATAATGAATTTTACACCATTATAGTACCGGGAGGAAGGATGGAAGAAAATAAGGAGAAAACTTAGGACTACAAGAACATTGTAATATGATAGCAAATGGCTACGTCAAAGCATTACTATGATAGGAAAAGAGGATGAGAAAGAGCAAACTGTTAATATATCATCAATGATACAGGAAACATAGTCTTTCAATTGCAATAAAATATGCAAAGTTAAAGATATGGCGGTCACAAACTCTCTCTATCAAAGTTAATCTGTCTATGCAGAATACCTAGGTCCTTGGGAGAAAAATTGAAACTCTACAACACGTAATATCTGGATCCCCAGGCTTAAATAACTTGACAATGCTGTAGGGGGCGTTAGAACTATACAATATAATTTCTTTTGACTTGTATTGTTGACACTTAAATAGCCGTACAGTAATGCGACCAGTGAAAACCACTTTGTGTTCTCCCTTATGCAAAACGGTTAAGAGTAGTAACTGACAATAATGTTAAAACTATCGCGTACTTTGTTACAAAGAAAGCAAAAAAAGCGATATCTATGCTATTGCCACCAAACGGACTACGTTGAAACCAGAGGACTCGTCATTAATTTATTCTTTTTTCTCTCCATGGCTGTAAGTGTTAAAATCTCCCGAAACATGGCAACATTTTTACAGTGCATACATACCCAGCTGTGCTGCAGGCTATAATTTTAAAAATGATACGACCCTGGTGTGGGACATGAAGCAAACCATTAGACGATGTGATTCAGATGTAAGTAGAAGCCGTATTAGTGTGTTTTATTTCACAGAATTTGACGATCCACGTAGCGTAGGAAACTCATGAAAAACCCGTCTTGGGTAAAGAAAAATAATTATAACATTTTGATTTCACAATAAAATGTTTTGTCTGAAAGAAGTACAAAGACCAACCGTGCGGAAGTGGATGACTATTTTTGGAATTGCTGTCATATGCTCAGCTAATGGAGTCTCAGTAAGTATAATCCTGCATAGTTAATTGTCCCCTTCTCATAAGCCTTATAAAAGTAGCCCGACACCAAAAAATATTTACAGAATTATCTGGGACGAGAAAAAAAAATACAATCAAGTCTTTTTTCAATTTTCAGAATGAAAATGATACTTTTGGTGAAAGCATTTTGGTTTCTACAATGTGTATTAACAATCTTCCCCTTCGAAGATAATAGCTTGTTATCGAGTTGATGATTAGGGTGAATTCTGATGTAGTTTCCTCCTGTTACTTTTAAAAAGTCTAAAGTCAAGATCATAACAGTATTGTCTCTCCTCACTTCTTCTTTGTATGTTACTCTCTAGTAACATTATTTTCTTAAAATTTTCGGGACCTTCATGACCTTATTGTGAGGTGATTACCTTAAAAGACGTTGTGAATCTAAAACTGTACTAAACTAATACCTCAGCAGTTTTACGGCAATCTGTTGACCTACACCAACTCATATCACCTGGTCAGATGTCACCATGACGTCACACACACGTCTTCTACCATGCTGTCCGCTTGGATGATTACCTACTCACTGACAATCACATTCTCCAAAAACGGTAAGTTCATTATTTTTTGTGTGTTTCGATCTATTTATTTTATGTATTATCAGTCACAATGTTTGTCATTTTGAAAATAAATCGTTGCTCTAAACTTCACTATAATACTGGGTAGTAATTTTTGTTCAGAGTCAAATCTGTGCGGCTTGGAATACACTTCCGATTTTGGAGGAACAACAACAGTTACATGATAGATTTTTATTTATTTTGTAACTATGACTGGCGTTTTCGGAGTAACCTTCGGTGAAAAAAACAATCTTGCCTTATACATTTTCGTGTTATACTTCCTAGCTAAAAAGGTGTACTTTAATGTTCAAAGTGATCAAGATACTTATAGGTCTGAAAGTACCCCCCTCATACATACCTACACACACACACACACACACACACACACACACACACACACACACACACACACACACACACACACACACACACACACACACACAATCCCCCACCCCCATTCCCGTGTGAATCAGTGAGTGCAGGCCATGTTAAGTCAATGATATCGCACGAAGGCTAAAATGTTGACATAAAAATGTGCCTCAGAATTTGTGCAAGATTGAAACAGCGTTGATACAAAACAAAATAATATTCTTGAAATGTGTGTTTACATCACCAAGAAAAAACACCTAAAGGACATCCTCACTAGCTCCAAATTAAGTCGAAATAAATAATTTGTTTCCTCCCAAATTGTGTCGATACTGCCGTAAAACATCCACTAAAGCTATCAACTTTTATACTACTACTACTACTACTACTACTACTACTACTACTACTACTACTACTACTACTACTACTACTACAACTACTACTACTACTACTATTAAATATTAAATAGCATTTGTATAGCGCGTGTCCCCACTGGAAGGCAAGCTCTTATAATAAAGTACATGTATTGTCATGAACATGTCATGTCAAGACCCAGTGTTAAATTCTTTTCCTAGTGACGAAAAGGCTGACCAAAGCCCCGAGCTTGCTGTTGGGAATTGTCGTCTACGCAGCGTCTTTCTTGGTGGGCTACTGGGACCTGAACGGACCTGTGCCTGTCTTCGTCATAACCCACGGATTGTTGGCAGGGGTGGCAACAGGTGTGTTGTTTAGATACGAGGATGTTGTTTGTCACAGATTGAACATTATGTTATCCTTCTCAAGACAGGGCAAAAGTCTACTTCAGCTCTCTATTCGGAACTTACTACACATATCCAGAATCTTCATTCACTGTGTGGCCATTATGGAGGCAGTCATGTGAATAGCTGATTTTTTTTAACGTATGTTGTATATTGGAGGGTGCGGTCTCTACTGCGCACACTGCAATCTGTCCCTGTTGTTTTATGCAAGAAAAATTGTGAAATTATACAAACTGAGCCCAAAAACGTGAAATTATGCGATTCTGTTAATTTTAACAAAGAATGATAATGGAAAATAATCAGAAATTATGCCAAAAATGATCAAATTTTGATAAATTATGCGGGGTGCATAAAACCACGGGGACAGAGCAATATAAAATCTACTTCTGAAAATACAAAGACAAAGGGAAGGAGGTTTGCGACGTGAGAGATAGATAGATAGATAGATAGATAGATATATAGATAGATAGAGAGAGAGAGAGAGAGAGAGAGAGAGAGAGAGAGAGAGAGAGAGAGAGAGAGAGAGAAAGAGAGAGAAACCTAAACATTAAAACCACAATGCAAAAAAGCTTGCAATTACTCCTAAAGAAGAGTAAATTGTATCGACATCGTTTTTGAGAACCTATCCTGACTAGCCCAAACAAGAATGGTAATTCTTTTTGATGACAATAGCATTCTATTTTCTAAGCCAATAATAATCTCCAAAAACAAACAAGCCTTGTACCATCGTTTCTAATATAGCGGTAAGGTGCTTTGCCGTCACATGCCCATGGATTATGTTCGATTCTCGTGTACGGAGAATGTGTGTCGAATACAAAGTGTAACTCGGTCTTTCTGATGGTACACTCTATCCCTCATCCCGGATTTGTACAAGCAAGCAGGGTCAAAAAGTGTTTCTGAAACTATCCATAGAGTGTCGATGGTGGTGTTAAAACATCCACACTTTAAAGTACAAAAGACAACACACCTTTGTAGTTGTGGAGCGCATAACTTGTTGTCGTAATCTTTATGCAAAAGTGAACAGTGCAATGACAATTACTTATCCTAATGACTTCTTCTGTGATGTGTGTTCATCTAGAAAAGGAATGGATTCTCTAGCAAGAAACATTGAAATGCAAGAACGATCTATTAAATTTGATTTCTGTTCACACGTTTTCCTGTGACATTTAAACCATTTATATTTATTTGCAGTCCTTTATTCAGCAGCTCTAGTTATCATCTTTACGCTTCTGAATTTTGTAGCTGTAGTCCAATTAAGTGTCTTTTTATAGGTATTTTTACGCTCAAATTTAGATTATTTAGGAGGCGGGCTTCGACCGTGCATTTCTGGGCAATCCTGGATGAGTGGGATGTATCCTCCTAGCAGAAAGACCGATACACTCGATAAAAATTCCCCACACGGTAATCGAACTCAGATTTTCTGCATACAACGGTACAGAGCTATAACGTTGCACTACATCCACCAATAACAATAACAGTATTAAATTGTTGATACTAAATTATACGTAATTTTTCCCCAGCTTTTATGATAGCCGTGGTCTCTGAATATCTCATCGAGTTGACAAACGGCGAAAATCTGGGTCTCATAAGCTCTTTTGTCACGACCAATACAAAGGGAAGTGTTCTTATCAACCAATTAATCACTTTCTACATCAACCCAGAGAACTTACCCCCAGATATAAGCGTAGGGAGGACCACATTTTTCCAACAGGAACAAGTGCTTGACAGGTGGGTATGTTCAGGAGAAAGTTTAGATTTTGTGTTTGGACATCCATAATCATTTTTGTTGCTGCTTGGTGGATGTTGTTGTTGTTATTATTGTTGTGTGTGTGCGCGCGCGCGCACGTGTGTGTGTGTGTATGTGTGTGTGTGTGTGTGTGTGTGTGTGTGTGTGTGTGTGTGT